TTGTTCATATTGACATGGGCAATGGTTGTTGTAGATTAGCGATTAGCGTATAAGTCTCCCAATGCGAAGCTTGAGAGAATTCTCAAGATATGATATTATCATTTGTGTGTCCAGCGCACAAAGCCCCTGGGTATACTCAGCGAACGAGTTGCGAATCGCGATTAGCGCCGCGACTGCAATCTGAAATCGGATCGCCCTATCGCAGTGTTCCGACTCGGAACGACTGAAATTCGGTCCGCACTCTGATACATTATGATGGGCTTGCAGAGGGATGGTTAGTTACAACTAACATAAGCAAAAAGGAGGGGACGCACTTGAATTCACAGCCCAGGCCCTGGATCGTGAACTGGATAATCGTGTGACAACTCGGGAAGTTTCCGGAATTTCCACTTTCGATAACCCCGGCATATTCCATACATTCTTCCCCTATATGTGAGTCGCATAATGTAACGGATTGAGCGATTATGAACTACTCTCCAATTCGGAGACCTCACGCGACTGATAACACGACCTATTCATCCACAGAGTACGAACCTAGTCCCCCGATTGGGTTCGGAACCCCATCGGGTTTCATTCACTGCATGAGCTCTTGTAACCTTTCCTCAACCCCTCGTTGAAGCACTTCCATAATTGGCGGCCAGGCCTCCTCGGTATAAGTGTACGGATCGGGGATGCTCGCATTACATAGCATCTCGATGCGAGGCATCGACTGAATTAGTCAGGTTACTTGACTCAGGTATTGCACAAATCTGAGTGTCCTCTCACCTCATCCACACTTCGAACCTTGTCATTCACTATCGCCTCGAGACGCTCAACATGCCCGCTGTCCATCCCATACACAGTTCGAGCACGACTTAGCATCTCCACGGTGAGCTGGCAAATAGGACATCGAGCTCAACGAGGCGCTAAGATAACACACCAATTTAGATCTGTGTTTCCGCTCTAGGGCGGTGTCATAACCCTGCGCACCCAATAGCTTGATGGCCAGAGGATTCATCGGTTGCCCGGGATGCGCATCGAGACCTGCCGACCTGCACACTGATCGTTGTTCTCCACATTGTACCATAGACAGACTGGACGAGTTACTCTATGGTTAGCTGACCCTGCTTCGTTCCCGCGAGGAGGTGGTACGCGTAATAATGCGCGACGGCTGAGCGACAGGTATTGCCTGTACACACAAAAAGGACGTCGATCGATTCGGTCATTGGGAGCTATGATTCTCCAAGAGTTAATGCTCCATGAAACTCGCAATAACGCGAATCAGTAACTCAAACGAAAACGTTGTTCATGATACAGAATGGATATTTTCCTCACGACAGGTGTCTCGGTCCCAAGTGCAAGTAGAAGTCTTATGGATTATTAGAATCCAGTCGCGTGGCCTCATGCACTCCCACGGATTACCCGCTCTTTCGACTAACCCAGCATAGGATTTTGACCTGCGTTATTCACAATAGTACGTGCTCAGTGAGCACCAAAGATGGGCAGTGCCCATTGGGCACTCGCCAGAGGGATACCTTGAGGAGAATAGCTCAGGACCGAGCTACGAATCCATCACCACTGAGGGTTCATAAGCGTAATAGTGCTACAGTCACACATTACTATTATGAATTTCAACTCTAGAACTCGGTCCGTCTAGTGTATTGGCAATACAATATTGCTGTTAGAAAAACTCTTAGCAGCCTGGGCCCCGCGCTTTCACCAGTTCGCACGTCTAATCTCTACATGGACATAACAAGCATATCTGAGAACGATTCCCTGTACCGTTAGCAGCACCGCCACGAACGAGGCAAGCCGAGGCAGACCACACATCCATGAACGCTCCCTAGTATTACATCCACCGTGCCTATAATAATACCCGGCCAATTGGGCAAACCGCTCCTGGCCTGCTGTATCATACAGAATCAATTTGATGGGCTCTGCTACACCTGAAAGATGTGTACTTATCATGTCCCACTCGTGCACCGACACTAAACTTATCAAAAATGCTCATGCTACACATGAATTTGATGCTCGAATTCATCTGTAGCTCAAATTTTTAGCCCACTTGTCACATTCAGGGTCATCTTCTTCGAGTCACAAGCTAACGTGGATTGCGTGTTAGCGTCAAATACATCATCTACGGATCTGATCAGATATACGACAAGCTTACCCGGAAGATGCGATCCACCGTGATTATTGAGGCCCAAACTCTCTCCTCGTACTACCTTCTGACCAAACGAGTCTTCCCTACGCTAGCAGGTCCCGGCGGGACCGTCCCACCACAATGGCCTTGACAACTTCAACCTTGGGGACGGGCATGGCAGGAAGAGGCAACAAGCAATACTGAACAACAATCGAGTGATGTCCTGTAAGTCGTTGGTAAGCTCTACTCAACACAGTGAGCAAGGAAAAGAAGTCACGTTCAAGCAGCGCAACGGGAAAGCTGCACAGAGTGTGGCGAGCGCGCATGACTTCACACTTGCTTCCTTACTTGGACTTTAATATTCACACGACGGTCGTAATGCGATCCACTGCTTCATTGATCGTTCCATTATGGAAACAGTGACTCGTATGAGTCATGCCGTATGACTCATACGGTATGGTACTATCATATCGTATGATTCATACAATCATACGACTCGTATGGAGAATCTCCATTGTCCATCACGATTAACTCCAAGACGTTGTCGTTTGCCGATCGTCCAAGGTTTCGGGCCCTTGGTGAACGGAGAGGTCGCTATTTCTATTACAGTGGACCCTGTTAGCCAGAATACTGAGCAAGCCCGCATGCTCGGAAAAGTGGGCACTTGGACGGGCTCCAGATATCCACGAGTAC